GAGGGCCGCGAGCGCGGCCGGGTCTACGTCTACAGCCTGAGACAGGTAGGCTGCGGGGGGCTGAGCAAAATGGGGGACGGCTACCCCTGGCCTTGACTCGGGTGGTCCTGAGAGAAGGTCACTGCAGGGGCCTGTATCTGCCTGCTGAGCCAGGTGGGGAGAGCAGGAGTCCCTGGTCCTAAGTTGCCAGGAGTAGGTGTCTGGGGAGATGGGGTGCAGCGAGGTGTTGGCAGGCCAGAGTTGATGGTGACCCCGAGCACCCTTGCCGTCTACGCTGAGTCTTTTCCCACCCCTGGTTTCGAAGGACCGGTTTGTTTACAATGGGACACTGATGGATGCCCAGAATTTCCAGAATGCCCGATTCGGGTCCTCCATTGTCTCGGTTCCGGACCTCAATCAAGACTCCTATAATGATGTGGTGGTGGGAGCCCCATTAGAGGACAACCACCGGGGAGCCATCTACATCTTCCATGGCTTCGGAGGCAGCATCCTAAAAAAGCCAAAGCAGGTAACACACTCCCCCAAAGCCCTAGAAATGATAAAGCTCGGACTCGGAGTCCCAGCAGCTCACTGTCTCCTGTGTCCTTGCAGAACAGAGCATTCCTTGGTATCTAGCCCTTCTGGCCTCAAGTTGAAGATGCCTGCAGCACCCCCCCCCCACAGACCCTTCTAGCCTAATCTGCCCCCACCACCCCAGGCAGCAGCAAGATCCCAGGGACCCCACTGTGCACTTGCATCCATGCATCTGGCTGCAGGTGGAGACTCCTGGCCCTTGCTTTGCTCTGGAAATGCTGCGTGCGGAAGCCTTGCTCACCTCGAAGTTAACTCTCCCTTGCCCCATCCCCTGCAGGGCATCACTTTGCCCACATATTTTGCTGGTACGATAGTCTCGTAGATACACTACAGTAGAGGCACGGTAGGCTACCTGCTGGATGACCTGTCACACTTGATGGGGCCCTCTTTGTAGATACCGTATTTTAATCCAAACGGGTGACTTAATGGTAGGAATTGCAGTTTCCAGGGCCAAGCAGGAGTGGAAAGCTTTGGCCTGGGGAAGCTTCCTGATGGCTTCAAACAGGCTGTCTCCAGACTCCCTATCATATCTTCCTTGAGGGCGCCCTCCCCTTTGTGCTAACACTGTGTATGCCCAGTGTTTTCCTTCTTTCCACTCTGGCAGAGAATCGCCGCCTCAGAACTGGCTCCAGGTCTCCAATATTTTGGCTGCAGCATCCACGGGCAGCTGGACCTGAACGAAGACGGGCTGGTCGACCTGGCAGTGGGCGCCGTTGGCAACGCTGTGATTCTGTGGTTGGTCCCCTCTTCTTGATGCTTGGTTCTCCCAAGAGGCCCTCTGGGTACAGGATTTTTTTTTAAGATTTATTTTATATATATATGCATAAAAGAACTGGGGTGTAGGCTATAGGTGCAGGGGGTGAGAAGATTCACCAGAGACATAGTGGGGAGCAGAACAGAAAAGGCAGACTGATGGAGTACATGGCTGAGGGGAGCATGGGTCAAGACAAGAGAGGTCTGCTGTACCGTGTGGGTAGCTTCTGGGTTGGGAATGGAACTCGTGCTGCAGTGGCTGCTGATAGCTTCATAGTGCTGCACCACCAGGGAGGACCCTAGATCTTTAACAAAACCAAATATATATATATATTTATTTATGCATACAAGAACTGTGGTGTAGGCCAGAGATGTAGGGGGTGAGAGGATTCACCAGAGGCAGAGTGGGGAGCAGAACAGGCAGACTGCTGAGGGGAGCAGCGGGCAGGTCAGGAGAGGTCTGCTGTGTCACATGGGTCAGCTTCCTGGCCGGGGTCAAGCTATGGTGCAGTAGCTGGTGATAGCTTCATAGTGTTGTATCTTAACCCCTTGTGCCACCAGGGAGGCCCTAAGTGCAGGATTAAAAGGTGTACTTTGGGCCCTCCCTGGTGGCGCAGCGGGTTAAAGCACAGCACTGAGAAGCTAAAGTCACTTCCGCATGAGTTCAATTCCCGCCTGCCCCGGAGGAGACCACATGGTGTGGCAGACCTCTCCTGACCTGCCCGCTGCTCCCCTCAGCAGTGTACTTCTGTCGATCTGCCTGTTCTGCTTCCCACTCTGTCTCTGGTGAATCCTCTCACCCTCCGCATCTCTGGCCTGTACCCCAATTCTGTATGGATAAATAAATAAATCTTTAAAAAAAAAAAAAGGTGTACTTCAAGTGACTGGACTATGGTGATGGCACACAGGTGATTTGGTGATGGGAAACCCACGGGGATTACAACTGAGATGGGAAAAGGCAACAAGTAATGTAAAAATAAACGACTATATTATTAAAAAAAAAAAAAAAGATGTACTTCAGGACCTCATCCCCATCTCTCACCATTGTCATCGCTACTCACCCAATTCCTCTCCCATGGTGTTACCAGTCTCCATTGATTTCATAGAATCATTTTAAATTACCTTGAAGTTCAGATCACTCTTCTAGGAGCTCTAGGATGTCAGTGCAACACAGAGTCAAAAAAACCTCAGAATTTGAAATTCTAGAAATTCTGGTTAATCACTCTTCTCTTCCACTTTAGTTTTTCAGACTACTTGAAGAACAGGCTGGGCAGATTCTTACCAGCTGGGAGGCACACCCTCCTCCCTGGGGCTGAGAGAATGTGCATGGTTCTCAGAGATCTGTTCTTCCAAGCCCCCTGGACTTCTTGCTTCCCTTCTTCAGTGTCCCTGTGACAGTATCCCATCAGTATTTTCCATATGTCTACACTCAGGGTCTTTAGCAATAACAAGAACTTTAAAAAAAAAATTGCTTTCTAAAGCCATAAATTTTACCACATAATGTGGTGGCTGCTTTTTGAGCCAAAAATATTTTTAATTTGAGCTTTTTCTATGTGTATAGTTGATCCTTGAACAAAGTGGGGGTTAGGAATGCTGACCACATGCAGCTGAATATCTGCCTATATCTTATAGTTGGCCCTCGACACATGTGGGTTCCACCTCTGGGGGTTCAACCAACCAACACCTGCAGTTGATTGGATCGGGGAATGTGGAGCCCATGGAAAGAAAAAAATTCAAACAAAAGAGTCATTAAATTTATACTCATTCTCCATAGTTTATCTTGCTCTTGATTTCTTCTAGCAATTATTATGAGTTCAGTTTTTCCATAAGTTCTGCAATTTCCTATCCCCTGTTCCATGATAAACCTGCATGTTAAAGTATTTAATCAATTCTTTTCCTGTGAGTTTCTCTAAATGCAAAGCATTAAAATAAGTTAGAGCTTCTGAAAATGACTAAAGACTTGTACATGCCTAAAACTAGACATTTGAGTATAATACAATTAGTAAGGAAATTTGCTAGATTTTGTGGCATGTATTTTAAAATAATAGCCAGAATTGGCCAGTAATAATATTCTCCCAGAACATATCAGATTTTTAAGAAGTTTCACATAATTTCCAGAATATTCCTATTAGTATTTAGATTACATGCCAAGAAGTTGAAACTTTCTCCTTATGTGACAATGCTTCCCATGACATTTCAACTTATCGAGTAGACTTAAGTTGTTTAATATTTTCCTTTCTACAAGGAAAGAGAACAATTTTTATGAGGTGTCTTAGGAGTTTAAGACTTCCCATATTTCTTATTTTTAATCAAAATATTTATTATTTTTAGAATTATGGTTTCAGGGAAGTTTCGTGAAAGCATAAAGCATTTACATAGGATACTATGAACAACATTTGACTGCTCATTTAACCAAAGTGACAATGATTTTTAAAGCAAATATATATTTTTGAGAAGGCTTGGCTCAAAGAAATGCTGCCAGAACCAGATTTCTCTCTAGTTAGCCAAAAGCCTGAAAGTATCAGATCATTAAATTAAATAGCCTACAAGCTTTTATTATACACTGATTCTAGTTTATGATTACTTTTGTTCCTTCTAGAAGATAAAAGAAATTAAAAGTTGGTTTTTTATATATAAAGTATATAAAACATAATAAAACATAATATATAAATGTTACAATATATATTATATAAGTATGTGACATATAGTTATATGTCATTTATTAGTATAAATCCTTATAACAATTCATTTTATCTTATCCACATCTAAATTTCTCTACAATTCCTTTTTCCTAAGTCTTTTGTCACTTAACAGACCTCTTAGGACTTACTATATTCATTCAGTTTTTTGCCCTAAAACTTATACATTTTAGAATAATCGTTTCACTTGACAAAACTACTGCCTCTTTCCTTACCTTATCAAATGAAAACTGACATCCTTTATCTTTTATCCTTTTTCTTCTCAGAAAAAAAGATTCTATTCCCCTTCCATTCTGCTTACTTGCTTTCTATAAACATTCATTTTTTTTCCTTTCAAATCCTTAATTCCTAATAAGATCTGAAAAATCTAAGGGAGATTCTGTAATAGTCAGCCTATGTACCAAAAAAACATTCTGTCTCAAATGTTTGTGTTTGGCTAGTGTTTTTGGTTTCTCCTGGGATGTTTACATTCTAAAGACAGATTGGGTTTATAAGGATGAAGAGAGAGAGATGTTAGGAGTTTTCAGGGTATATTTTTCCATTATCAGATGTCTAAGGTTAATTGCTATTTAAAATTTTTCTCTTTCACAAGTATTTTATTTCTTGTATAAGTTCCCCCCCTTTTTTAACTTTATCCCATTATTCTAACTCTAAAGATTTACATGTTTCAAATCAAACCATTAAATTTTAAAGCTAGTTCTCATCAACCATACATCCAAGATTACAGTTCCTTGAAAGTACTTTGTTTTTTTCTCCCATTATATTCCTGAATTTATATAGGTACCTATCATAATTCATTCCACTATTACCAGCCTGAAGTACAGCAATGAAGCCCAGTGGGAAGACATTCAAACATACATATAGTCATAAAGATCTTTTTTAATTAGTTTAAAATCTGTTCTAATGGACTAGAGCCAAATATCCCACTTAGATTGCCTATTACCTTTTCTTCAGTGATCACTATTATAGATACATCTGAAATTGAGTTGTTTCTAAATTCCCTAAGCCAAACTAAATCTAAAAACTTTAATGTGAGTAGCTTCCACGACTTCTTTCCATTGTCTTTTATCCTGGATTCTAACCCAGGGATCTCAGGCCTCTGGCCCAAGGGCTTGGGGGCTCTAAACCACTGAAGATCTCTCTGCATGCTCTAGGGTGGAACTCTAACTCACAATCCTAGTAAGCTAATAATTAAACAGTTTAGGAAGCAGCTACTCAAAACAAGATTACTCACTTAAAAGACATCTGTTCGCAGAATTGTTTCTTCTTTCAAAATGAAATTAGCACCAAGGGATCCTTAAGTATTGGAATGGAGCGAGGGAGTCCAGTGTTGAGCCTCTAGACAAAGAGGCCTAGTGACCAGCAGGGTCACCCCCGATGGTGGAGAAACCCACTCCCACGGCTGCAGAGCCTTGGGCAGGCAGTTCCATCTGGAGTGACAGCTGATTATCAACCGATGGCCTCACAGTCCAGGGCCCATAGAGGTTGGTTATTATAACACCAGGTTTTGAAGGGGAAAAGGATTTTATTGCAAGTCACCTAGTAAGGATGCAGAAGAAAAATTCAATTCTGCCTCTCCTATTAAGAAAAGGAATGAGGGGGCCCTCTCTGGTGGCACAACAGATTGGAGCACAGCATTATGAAGCTAGCTGAAGCCACTTCAGCACAAGTTCAGTCCCCGGCCAGGCAGGACCCACATAGCACAGAAGACCTCTCCTGACCACCCGCTACTACCCTCAGCTCTGTACTTCGTCGACCTGCCTGTTCTGCACCCCACTCTGTCTCTGGTGAATCCTCTCACCTCCCCTGCACTCTGGCCTGTGCCCAGTTCCGTATGCACAAATAAATAAATCTTTTTTTAAAAAAAAAAAAAGAATGAGGGGACCTCCCTGGTAATGCAAGAATTAAAGCCAGCACTATGAAGCTATCCACAGCCAGGAATTTGATCCCAGCTGGAGAAGTGACCCACACGGTGTGGCAGACCTCTCCTGGCTCTCCTGCTCCCCTCAGCAGTGTATTTCAGCTGATCTGCCTGTTCTGCTCCCCACTCTGTCTCTAGTGAATCCTCACACCTCTGGCCTGTACCCCACTTTTTGTATACAAAAGTAAATAAATATTAAAAAAAAAAAAGTGGGGCAATGAGGTTATACAGGTTCTAGAGATTGGTGTTAAAATCAGAGGAGTCAAATTTGATTGGCCATGGAGTGGGCTGGGGCAAAGAAATGTGGACTTGGCTAAGGTTCGCTGGCCAGTTATAGGGCAGGTCATATATGAAGAACTATGAAGAGATTTTTCTCCAGATCACTGGAGTTTTGCCTGTCTGTGGATGACCCCTCACCTCTGGGCTGCTCCTCTCCTTTACCCCTGTGTCTGGGGCTCAGCTCAAGGTCAGACACTTCTGCACTTGCTCAGCTGTGTCATTTGTAGATAAAGTCAAGGCTCTGGATGTCTGTGAAAGAAAAACTCAGAAGGAAAGTTATACAAGTTTTTTTTTTCTTTTGTTCTCTAGGGTCTGAGAATAATTCAGCTATTTCACCTTGGCTTCCATATTAAAATTTGAGAAGTACCCCTTTAAGACATGTTAATGCTGACTCTGATTTAACGTAGACTGAAATCTCTTAACTTAGAGTTAACTCTAAGTTAAAACTCTTAGAGTGCAACTTTGGCATCAATATTTTTTTTTGAAAATTTTTTTTATTAAAAAGTTTATTTTTACATCATTTTGCACATTTTTTTTTCATCTCAATTGTAATCCCCACGGGTTTCCCATCACCAAATCACCCCTGTGCCACCATAGTCCCGTGCATTTCCCTCCCTCCCCCCCCCCCCCGTTTTTGGTCCCATTCCCCACTCCACCCCCACAGAATGTCGGCATCAATATTTTTTTTTAAAATCATTCTAGATTGGCCCTTCCTGGTGGCACAATGGGTTAGGACACAGTACTGCAAGCTGGCCGCAGCCGCTTCAGTGCAAGTTCGATCCCCAGCCCCAGAGGTGACCACATGGCGTGGCAGACCTCTCCTGACCTGCCCACTGCTCCCCTCAGCAGTGTGCTTCGTCAGTTGGCCTGTTCTGCTCCCCACTCTGTCTCTGGTGAATCCTCTCACTGTCCCTGCACCTCTGGCTTGTACCCCAGTTCTGTATGAATAAGTAAGTAAATCATTAAAAAATACTCTCTAGAGTATTCTAATATATACCCAGGGGCAGAATCACTGCTCTAAAAGTTATGAAAAGGCAACAAGTATGGTCTGCAACAAGTACAGCCCCGGGAAGTGAAGGCGCCTCCAGGAACCGTGAAGTGGCTGCGTCTGCCTCTCACCCACCATGAACTATTTTGCACAATACTTTGACATCTGGGAACTCTCTCTGCCCCCAGCCCACCTCACCCTCCAGTGGTGGTTTCGCAAGTCCCATTCCCACTGGGCTGTCCACCTTTCCATGGGTCACAGCAGGGCAGCCAGCCCTGGCTCACCCCGCTGCCTTCCCTCCTCTCTAGGTCACGCCCTGTGGTTCGGATCAACGTCAGCCTCCACTTCGAGCCGTCCAAGATCAACATCTTCCACAGAGACTGCAAACGCAGTGGCAGAGATGCCACCTGTCTGGCCGCCTTCCTCTGCTTCACACCCATCTTCCTGGCACCCCATTTCCAAACGGCCACCGTTGGTAAATCGCCCAGTCACCCAGCCCCAGTCTCCCCAATGGAGGGGTTGTCAGAACCGGGGCTTTGCTGGGTGGGCCTGCAGTGCCAGGCCATGGCCAGAACCGCCTATGGTGACTGCTAGACACCTATTCCATGCTGTGACTCCAAGGGGCAAAGAGGGGCTGTCGTGCCAGGAGAAGGATGGCAGTGAGCAGCCATGACCAAGGGAGAGGTCGGGGAAGAGGGAAAGTAGGGTGCAGTTGGCTCAGAACAGGAGGCTGGAAGCAGTGGACAAGTTAGAGTGTGAAGCTGCCACAGCAATCTGGATGGCGCCTAAGAGTCAAAGCGGAAGAGGGTAGAAGCCAGGGGTCAGGATGAGAAGACCCAGCCTCAGTGGGCACGGCTGGGAGAGAGCATGAGTCCGCCACAGGGCAGTTTCCTTCTGAGGGTCCTTCACATTTGGCCAAGGGAGGGTCAGCCACCTGCTCCCAGCACGGTCCGGGCTCCACGGCCCCAGGAAGTGACAGCTGCAGGGTCCAGGCGGGCTAGGCCAGGGGAGCCACAGCAACGCGCTTCTCAGCGCGCATCCAAGAAGCAGGACTGACCAAGCAAAGGAGAGACGCGTGCTCGCAGGGAGAGAGAACAAAGGTGGGCCTGCGGTCTGTGCTCTTTCCATTTCTACCAGTGAGTCGGAAAGATGCAAGAATCTGTGCACGCAGAGGGCCGGTCGGGGTGCAGGAACAGGGGCTCTGCCCTCCCTGGCGTTAGCAAGACCATCCTATTGCCAGGAAGGAGGCTGCAGGCTTAGGCAGGTGGGAGCTGCCACCCACAAAGGCACAGACCTCACAGGGCCCAGCGCTGAGGAAGACCAGAAGGTGAAGGGAGGAGTGGAGAAGTGTGCTTACTCAAAGGGGGTTTCGCCCAGACCCCCTGATTTATCTCCTTTCTCTGCTTCCTGCACTACTCCCCCATTTCCTCCTCTTCCTCTTCCCTGTCAGCCCCGCCTTCATTTCCCCCCCTCCTACCTTCCTCCACTCTTCAGTTCCTTCCTTTTTCTCTTGCTCTCTGCTTGGCAGTTTCTCCACACCTGCCAGCTTGTGAAGGGAGGGAAGCAGCTCTTCCCTGGCCATCCTGGAGGGCTTCCTGGAAGAGATTGCCGTTAAAGGTCAGGGAAACAGTGGCTCTGCATTCAAGGTCTCGCCCTGTCCCCCAGGCATCAAGTACAACGCCACCCTGGATGAGAGACGGTACACGCCGAGGGCCCACCTGGACGAGGGCGGGGACCGGTACAGCAACAGGGCCGTCCTGCTTTCCTCCAGCCAGGAGCACTGTGAGCGGATCAGCTTCCATGTTCTGGTGAGCCTGACGCCCAGCGGCCCCACCGGCAGGGGTCCGGAGCTGTAGAGAGACTGACGTGGGAGACCAGGGCTCCGCTCCTGCCCGGCTGTGCTGAGCCCCCAGCAGAGCTCAGCAGGCCAGCAGGGGCACTGGCCTCAGCTCGGCCACCCCAAATGCCTGCTCCAGTGGAAAAGGCCACAGGACTGATGCCCAGCACCTCGCAGGACACACACACCCCAATCCCTTCCTTCTGGCTTTCAGATACCCACTGTCTGTGTAGCAGGGTGAAGTCCAGGAGGGTGTTAGGCTCAGTGAGGTCTAAAAGAGAAGTAGCGTTGGCCAGCAGTGGCTCGAAAGAAATGGAAAAGCAGGCGTCTGCTGAAAATAAAGGCCCATCGGTGGGTGAGGGCGAGGACAAGGTGAGGGGAGCTGCAGAGAGCCAGCCTGCTGGAGAGGGAGAGCCAGCCATGGCCTGGCACTCTGCTTTACAGACATGGGAGAGCGTAAGAGTTTGCCTCCATCCAGAAATCCCAGGCACCCAAACTCTAGTTCCAGCCTTACAGACAAGAAGTGTTACAGGGTAGCCCAGAGTGGACTGGGCCGCCTGTCTGTGGGGCCTCACCCGAGTGCTCACAATTTGGTTATACTGCAGGTATATGTGTTTATTTACAAAAGGGGAAAGGAATAGGGAACAACACAGGCAAAGAGAGAAAGATACAAAGTAAGTGGAATACCTTACGGCTAGGCTGACTGAACACACCGAGTCACAAGGTCAGGAGAGCTGCTTCCCGAGCGAGAGATCGAATCATGCCCTATTTATCCCCCAAAAGTCCCAGAATTCTTGCTAGTTCCACCCTTGGGTCCTCGCAGTTCTCTCCCTGGTACTGCTGGGAGTTGTAGTTTCCAATCACTGGAGTAGGGGTTGGAGTCCAGAAAGCTGGAGTAGGGGATGGAGTCCACAAGACACTGCAGAGTTCCTTTAGGACATCCTTCCCCTCAACAGTAGGGGGCAGCGAGAAACCCCCGAGTCCAGTCTTCCACCGCCAGAAAAGCAAGCAGTTAGAAGCCCCCACTCTGCTGCTCCCCCTCTAATCTCTTGGTGCCCGGTTCTCCACGTGTGGTCCCCAGGCCAGGTCCATCCTCCTCTCCTGCAAGCTTGTGAGAAATGAACATTTGTAACCCCGTGCCAGGCCCCCTGCTTCAGACTCAGGTGGGGCCCAGCACTCAGTGTTTGAGTAGCTCACCCACCACCTTCAGGGGAGATTCTGGGGTAAGCTCAGGCTAGAGAGCCGCAGCCTTAACACAGAGCAGCCACTCACGTCCAGCTTTGGGGTCCAAGGAGAGGATTTTAGGCAGTTCCACATATCCTCCTTCATTTGCTGTCTTATCTGAATCGCCCCCATTTTGCTCTGAGCTTGCTCATTCATTGACTCAGCACAGTTCCTAAGCCCTCGCCACAGTGCTAGGACTCTGCTAAGAGGTTTTGAGAGAGGAGGCTGAGCTTCATGCGGATGGGTCCTATGAGGGTGTGGCGGGGGGCAAGGCTCAGGTGCTTGGCTGATGGGGCTGTGAAGGATGAGCAGGAGCCTGCTGGGACATGACCTTGCTGCAGGGACATATGCTGGTCACCCTTCAGCCCTGGACCCTGCTGGGCAGCTGGCGCTTTCATCCTGGACTCATCTGAGGCCTGGGAGTGGGGGGTTGGGGGGGTTGAGGCACACCCAGGCTCAGGGAGGCGGAATCTCTGTCCTGGCGATCCTGGTCCAAAAAGGTGCTCCCTCCACCCTCGCTCAGTCCTCACCTCCTCCACACAGGACACCGCTGACTACGTGAAGCCAGTGACCTTCTCTGTGGAGTACGCCCTGCAGGACCCCGACAACGGCCCCGTGCTGGACGAAGGCTGGCCCACAGCCCTGAGGGTCTCGGTACGTCTGGCCTGGGGGACACATCCCCCATCCACTCCACCTCCTCCAGGCAGTCTCCCCCCGCCAGTCTTCCCCCTCCTGCCAGCAAACCCACACACCTCCTTCCCTCTGCCCTGCGGCTATGAGGGCAATTTCTTGAGACCCTCTCCTGCAGGAGTTCCCAGCATAGGTGAGCACTGAGGGGGTACCGGGAAAATACGGAGAATTCCAGGATGAGAAGTTTCTTTAGATTTCGATCTCCTGCTTCTCACATGCACACAGGACACTGGAGGCCCGAGAGAGCATCCAACCACTCAAAGCTGGCCTGCAGCTCTGGGATGACTGATTGCCTGATGGATCGTCCTCCCGCCCCTTCTAAGTGTTCCAAAAATATCTGGTTTTTAATCTCATCTTTGGTTATGGTCCCACCCTTCGACCGCATATTTTAACCCCTTGCTCTCCGGCATCAGAATTTTCTGGTATCTGACACTCAGCGTTCCATGTAGCTCCACTCCAAAGAAAAGGTCAGTTACCACAGCTGTCCAGGCTGTTCTGGGACACAGGCAACATCCATACATGGAAAGAGCTCCTGAACCCTGAGGTAGAGGCCCCAGAGCTCTCAGCCCACACCTGTGGACTGCAGGTTCAGAGTGACATCTGAAATAGAGCATCCAGCCAGCAAATAGCAGTTTCAGAGTCATTGATATACCCTCTTGTATTTCCCCAGCGTAAAACGACCGCAGCATCAACAGCAGTGCTTCTGACACGCCCTTGATTCCCTCGTTTACCTCCATCGCCCCTCAGCGCTCCCACAGTCCACTGCCAACCTTCGGCCTTCCCGTCTTCCCCTTTCCTCCAGAGAGGCACATCAGAGTGGTTGTCTTTAAAATGCATTTCAAGAGTGCAGGAGAAGTGGACTGGGGAGACTGGAATTTTCATTAGTGAGCCAGGAGAGGGGGAAATCTGGGCGCACTGAGTCGTTAATATTTTTCCCACTACTGTAAATACAAAACCACTACAGCGAGTGCAGGTGCCTGTGACACTCAACCTATGGCGTGTTGAGGCCGTGCCGTGGCGTAGATGCAGGCCTTTCTGTGCTGTCCCACTGATGGCTTCGATGCGAGATGCAACATGGGTCACAGATCAGGTCTAAGACAGAGTGAGGTCAGAACAAGTGTAAGCAAGCCTCAGATGTTAGGCCAGGAGGACTTCCTGGAGGTGGCCGTGAAAGTGCAGAGGAGGGAGCTCACATCTTGTGCAACCAGAGCTGGCATGTGCAGGCTGAAGGACGGCTGAGGCGGTGGGCCCCCTAACTAGCTGCCTGCACCCCGCTTTCCCTGGCCCAGGTGCCCTTCTGGAATGGCTGCAGTGAGGATGAGCACTGTGTCCCTGACCTCTTGCTGGACGCCCATAGTGACCTGCCAACGGCCATGTGAGTTGTCTCCTCCCCACCACACCTTGGTTTCTCCCCCTGCTGCTTCTAGGGCCCTGGATGGTCCCCCTGCACATCCTCTCGCCCAACTCTGAGCCTGAAGCCTGGACCTAGCCCACAGACAATCTCCTCCTCTGGGGCCTCCATTTCCTCCTTGTTTAATACAAACCCCCTCGAACTTAGTTTAGAAAAGGTCACCCTTCTGGGTGCCCCTACTACAAAACAGATACAAGTGGAGAATGAGTTCTGAGTGCTCATTCTCCAACCCCTGGCCAGGCAGCCTTTAAGGTCCACGACTAACTACTTGTGCTTGATGCTGCAGAAGCAAGCAGAGAGGAGGTGCCCTCCATGGCCCCCTGAGAAAATAGACAACAGCCTCTGAGTTTTAATTTAGGCTATGTATTTTCAAATACAAGTAACTTAAACTGCCATCTATGAGATGATTAAGATAGAAGACAGACAGACAGAGATGCAAATTAAAGCCACAATGAGACCCACCTCACCCCAGTGAGAATGGCACATCTTAAAACAACCAGCAACAACAAATGTTGGCGAGGATGTGGAGAAAAAGGAACTCTCCTGCACTGCTGGTGGGAATGCAAACTAGTACAACCACTATGGAAAACTGTTTGGAGGTTCCTCAAACTGCTAAACATGGAGCTTCCCTACGACCCAGCAATCCCACTCCTAGGTATCTACACAAAAGACACAAAAACACTGGTTCAGAAAGACATCTGCACCCCCATGTTTACTGCTGCTTTATTCACAATTGGAAAGACATGGAAACAACCCAAATGCCCAAAAGTGGATGAATGGATTAAAAAGATGTGGTACATATACACAATGGAATATTACTCAGCAACCAAAAAAATAAGCACATGTCTTTTGCAGCAACATGGATGGGCTGGAAAAGATCATGCTTAGTGAAATAAGCCAGAAAGAAAAGGAAAAATACCAGATGGTTTCTCTCATAGCAGGAGTATAAAAGTCCAGGGGAGAAAATAATAATAATAATGAACAACTTTATACCAGAGATATTTTACAGGGGTGGAGCTGGGTATAGGATCAAAAATGGGGGTGGGGGGACATGTACTGGACTATGGTGATGGCACAAGGGTGATTTGGTGATTGGAAGCCCACAGGGATTACAACTGAGATGGAAAAAGGCATAAAATGATGTAAAAATAAACTATTATATTATTTAAAAAAAAAAAAAAAACCTCAAAAACAAAAAAAAAAAAATAGAAGAAATAATATGCCATGACATATACAATTAGAAATAGCATGTGTAAGCCTTAGAAGAGAATGAAGAAGCAGATACTCTGTCTCGGCTAGTCATCAGGAGTGTCCACATTTAACACTGAGCTTCCGGGCAGGCAGAGACAGAGGGCAGCATGCTGAGTGGAAAGGGGATCCGTGACCAGTGAGAGAACCCCCATATTCCCCATTCCATCTGGCTCCTTCCCGCAGGGAGTACTGCCAGACGGCGCTGAGGAAGTCTGCGCAGGACTGCTCCACATACGCGCTGTCCTTTGACACTACAGTTTTCATCATAGAGAGCACGCGCCGGCGGGTGGCCGTGGAGGCCATGCTGGAGAACAGGGGTGAGAACGCCTACAACACCATCCTGAATATTTCACAGTCAGCAAACCTGCAGTTCGCCAGCTTGATCCAGAAGGTGAGACCTCAGTGATTCACCCACTTGCTGAGGCAAAGGGTAGAGGCAGGAAAAGAGGGATCCGGGCGAAGGCCTGGCTGTACGTTGGAATCATCTGGAAGCCTAAATACCTCTATCCACTTTTTTTTTTTAAGCTTTATTTATTAATGCATCCAAGAACTGGGGTACAAGCCAGAGGTGCTGGGAGGGGGCTGAGAGGCTTCACCAGAGACAGAGTGGGGAGCAGAACAGGCAGATCCACTGAAGTACACTGCGGAGGGGAGCAGCAGGCGGGTCAGGAGAGGTCTGCCCCGCCATGTGGTCACCTCCCTCTCCGCGGATCAGACTCCAGCTGCAGTGGCTGCAGATAGCTTCACAGTATTGTGCTTTAACCCACTGTGCCACCCTCTATGTAGCCCTCCAGAGATTCTAACTGAACTTGTCCCGGGTAGCCTGGGTTAAGATGATTCCAAGGCTTCCCAGAGAGTTTCCACTTGCAGCCAGGGGAGGACAGTATGAGCCCTCCAGGGCGTGGGAGGCGTGGGCAGATACACACATACACGCACACACCGCTCCTGAGCTCAGGAGAAGCCGAGTGGAGTGAAGCTATCCCAGGAAATTGAGGGGTTGTCCTGGCCTCCCTTCCCCTTTGTGGACTCCCAGTGACCTCAAAGTGTCAACTGAATGGGGGCCTGCCATCTGTCTGTGGCCAGGGTCAGTCCTTCTGTCCCATCCGGCCCCACTGCCACTCCCTCCACAGCCCAGAGCAAAGATGGGGGGCTGCCTTTCGAAGTCCTCTCCTGCCCAGAGATTTGGGGCACAGGACATTGAGCCACTAATCTGCATCCGCTTTTACAAGACATGTCCTGTGCCTTAGCCTAACCCTAAGGAGATGGAAATCATGGAATTTTGTTTCTGCAGCATAGAAGGGCTTTTGGAACTGAGCCACAGGAGGCTTTGAGTGCTCCTGCTCAAATACAAGTGTGTTGTTGCGGTCACATATGCACATGGTACACTTGTGCAAAAGCACACACATCTACATGTATGTTCAAAAACACTTGCTCTGAGTGGCTGCACACAGAGCACACACATGCCAGCGCACCTCCACTACACAGCCGGCCTCTGTGCACATGCATGCAAAAGATGCACATGGGAGTGCCTGTGGTGCCCGACAGTGCAGAACCCCGCAGGCATGAGGAGTCATTGTGGCAGCTGCCACGTGTGGCGGGTGCAACCATCGGGCACAGAACTAGACATTTACATGCATCGTATCATTTAATCCTCATAACAACTGAATGAGATCGGGACGATCATCCCCCTTTCATAGATGAGACCCAAGCAAATGAGTGCTGGTGTGAGTCGCTTCCCTCTGGACCAGTGCAGAGGGGACACCAGGCCCACCCTGTGCGGTCCCAGCTCAGAGGGCAGGGAAGCCTGGTGGTGTTCCCCTACACTAGGCCAGCCTTCTCTATGGCCAAAAGCCAGAGAATGACCCACTGTTGAGATCCCAAGGTCATGCAAGACCCCAAAAGCCCCATTCCGAGGCTAACGGAGCTCATGTCCAGCCCTACTAATGGGAAGATGTGCGGTCAGTCAAACAGCCAGGAAGGCGAGGGAGGCGGGACCGCCCGAGCCCAGCCCTTGCAAGCTAGTTACTTCCCGTCTCTGGGCCTCTCCTGGAAGCGAGCTAAGTCCTTCACCCCAAATGATCCAGAAGCACTGACAGCATCCCGGGACAAGCCTGCCCACTCTCTCCACAACTGAGCACCCTGCAGCCAGCCGCACCGGCCTCCACACCCTGCCAGCGCTGACCCCAGCCTCCAGGGCCCTGGGCCCAGCACCCGAGGGCCTGTAGTGCAGCACCAGCCTGGGCAGCAGGGACAGAGGGGCTCCAGGCCGGCCTCGTGCCCCCCTAACTGGTGCCCTTGTTTGCTCCAGGATGACTCGGAGGGCAGCATCGAGTGCGTGAATGAGGAGAGGAGACTCCACAAGAAAGTCTGCAACGTCAGCTACCCCTTCTTCCGGGCCAAGGCCAAGGTTGAGGCATGGGGGGG